GGGAGATATGGATAAAAATTGGGTTAGTTTAAGGGAGGGGGGGAGGGAAGGCCATACAATTAACCTAGGGGATAAAGGGAAAGAAGGAGCTCAAGAGAGGTAGGACCATAGGAGAAGGGTATTATTACGGGAGAAAGGGGGGAAATGGGGCACCTTAAGTGGGAAAACCATGATGGAGGGGTGAGACAACGCAAGACATAAATAATGCCTAGCTAATTTTGAAAACCAGAGGGAACCATATTACTCCTGCAACCTATTGACAAATTATACATAGCAGATCAAGAAATATATGTCTAGGTAAGGTTTATCTGAGAACAATTGGTCTTTGCCCAGGATTTATCTGCATGACACACAGTAATTAAAAGTATCAGACTACTGGAACTAACCTTCTTCTTGGATGTTTAACAGACATACTTTGAGGCCTATACTAATTTGGTCAGAGGGACATAAAGGACAGTTTTTGCTCCTTGCCTCCTAGGTTGACTAGTTCCAGGGGACTTTGAGCCTCTCTCAAAATGTCCTGTAATTGTGGTGAGTCAACTGTCCTCTTGATCAAGGAGGCTGAGGAGACCCCATCAGATGGACTTGAACCAGTGTCCAGTCTACAAAGAGGAGGGTCAACCCAGAGGAATCATTTCCTCCATGCGTCTAAGTGAAGCCAACCGTGGTCGAGCAGGACCTTTGGCTTATCTTCGAGAGCTCACATAGAAGGCTAGTCTAGCACCAACTTACTCTAGGCACTTCCCATCTCTGCCTGAATTAAGTAGCTTTAAACAAACAAACAAACATATGGCAACTTGAATATCATGAAAGACAGGTGGTTTTCTTTCCAAAGTATAATTCCTTCCACTGACCTCAGGTAAATATTCCATTAAGATATACAACCACACAAGAATGATAGCCTTTTAAATGAGTTTGTTTAATTCAAGATGATACAGAATTCAAAGTACAATTAAGATGGAACAACAGGCTCTGTCAGGATTCCAGGCTGGATTTACTTAAAATTCTGAGGTAGGGGTAAGCTCAATGGAAACTAGAGACAGTGAGCCATTGTATAATTTTTTTACAAAAGTTTATTACAATGTACAACAGGCTCCAGGACATCACTTTACTCTAGCTATAGGTGGCAAAAGATGTTATGGCAGGGAATCCAGATGTTTAAATAGGAATGCAAGAGGGTCACCATCATCTCAGGAATATGAAGAGCTTACTTTTTGCCAGATTTCTTAATTCCACCTGTGGCCAGGGGACCCTTCCCCGTGGCCTTCGCTTTCAGCTCCTCGAGTTTCTTCTGCTCCTCTTTTTGTTTCTGCTTGAAAGCCTTATCCTCCTCATCCATCTCCTTGGCCTGCTTCTTGGGCTGTTTCAGGGGCTTCTTCTTGCCACCTTCGCGGCCCGACATGGCGCCTACGGCCCCTTCCGCCAATATAATTTCTTAAGAGTCCATATGCATAGCTAAAGGCTACATAATAAGCAACAATGCCAGATATGAGATGCCTTCTTTTGAGCTGTTGGCCAAAGTAGCCAAAGGGATTCCCAGATAGTAACGTTACCCAGGATAGAACTGGGAAAATGAACAGCAGACCCCAATCTTATCCAAAGGAATATTGACAACTGATTACCGCTAGATGAGGAACAGCTGACCCGCCCAAAACAAAGACCTCTAGATAGGCTGACTAGATTCACCAGAAGGGCAAGTAGTGGGGAACGGCTGGGGTGCCGACAACACAGCAGACAGTAGCAAGGATATCAGAGTAAAAGGGCTCTAGTGTGGGGAGGGAGGCTATTGGAGGGTGCCATCTGGGAAGTGGGTGTATAGTTGAACAAGATGGTTTGGGATGTTCTGTGTGATATACAGACAA